ATTAAGAACTCGTTTGACATGACTTTTAAGAAATTAAAAAGAGGTTTTGAAATTCTAAAGTGAAATCTTTCGGTTAATTCTATAAAAATATTTTTTTATAGTTAGAAGGATTTTTGAAACAAGCTGACTCAATATGATCGATTTTATAAGTTGTCCCGAAAAAGTAAACTATTTTAGAAAAAAGTTTCTAAACATTAATTAAAGTAAATTTCTCGATAAACTCTTCTACAGAGAGAAGTAGAAGCAAAATAAAAAAGTATAAAATCGAGTAGATATTATACATTAAATAATATTTAAGACGCCATCCAATTACATTAATTGCGCATGAAAGAGAGACAATGTCCCACGGCATTGAGCTTAAAATAATAAACATTATCAACAAACATAATAATTATTAATTAAGATACAAACTTATGGTTGATATCATCCCTAAACTTGAAAGCAAAGAATCTAAATCTGACCTTACAGCAACCATCTCTCTCTCTCTCTCTCTCTCTCTCTCTCTCTACAACAACTTTTTTAAAAAACATGGATCGACAACCACCAGTACATTAGATATTCCTTTATATAGTACTTTTGTTTGCGAGTCTCGTACATACATTGTAGTTGTAGTATAATAGTAGAAGTACTATTTTTGTTGAAGACTTTTAACACTCGCGTTGCACCACAATCATATGTGTGGTCGATGGCTTTGGCACTTGGCCATGGAATAAATCATGTGCTTATACACTTGCTTTAAGCAACAATCTCCTTGTCATGTCCAAGAAAATTCTAATGCACCCCACGTTGTAGTATTCTCCACTTATTTGCTCCGTTGGATAATGTATCGAATCAGCGGTGGAGTCAGAATTTTTCAACATGGGCAAAAAAATGTTGAAAGGCGAATGCGCCTCCATGGCTCCATGTTATAGTATTTTCTATTTGGTTCGTCCACTCGACAATGTTGGTGAAGCCAAAACATTTTAATGGAGGCAAAAAAATGTCATCTCTACAAGAAAAAGAAAAAAAAAACTTCCAAAATTTCTATATAAAGTTGAAGAAAATTTCGATCTAAGCGATTTCATAACCAGAAAGGAAGACCTCTATTTCCGTCTCCGTTGACCTCCCGGATCTTATCCCCCATTCAATGATGATCTTCATTATATATTCTAGGATAAGGCTCACAATTCGTGAGCTTAGCAACAGATCGATTCGATAAGATTGAACTCTAATTTGTCACCGGTATGACAGTGAGATCAACTAGAAAATTGTAGGTTTAGCAACATATCGATTTGATAAGATTGAACCCTAATTTGTCACCGGTATGATAGTGAGATCAACTAGATAATTGTAGGTTTATAACGCTCGACGTATTCCTAGAAATAGACCATCTATTTCTAGACCTCGAAAAAGTTGGAATTTCGAAGGAAAAAAAAATCTATCAAGTTCATTGTTCATAATAGAGGTATAAATACCACTTCACTGATCGATAGTCCGACATTCAAACAAAGAAAACTTGATTGGTACTCCAAATCTTGATTAATTACAAGTAAACAGCCATAACTAACCCAAGGGAAAATCAGAGTACATTTTCTATGACTAACGACTGAAAATCAAAGGCTACGCCGGTATCAAGCCGATCAAGCTTTTAACACTCACCCCAGCCTTCTACCAGCTGATGTTGGCGCCGATGCTGTTGTCTTCTGGCTTTAAGCAAACGTTCAAGCTTCGATTCTGCCGCAGCTATAAGCTTAGCTGGCACGCCAGAAATTTCCTCCAGTCGCTTCAAAGATTGCCGAGTTCGCGCCCCATTGAATCGCAAGCCGAGCCACATCGAAGCCGCCAGGCAAACTCGGAAGGGCAAAACCCTCCAATGATCCAAGCATATCCTCAGCGCATAACGAGCCATCTGTACGGCAACGTCACTGCTTAGTTCAAGCCGCGAGCACCAATTGCTGAAAATGCCCTTCACCTTCAAGTCCAACGCTCCCCTTTGAATTCTCATAGTATTTTCTGACGTGACCTCGCCGGAACTTTCGTTTCCGGAGGAAGAAGAGTTAAATCCACAAGTTTCCTGACGACTGGAGTATTCTTTTTTCTTTGCCATAGTGCTCGAAACGCAAATCGAAGACTCTAAAGATGAGAGCGAAACTAGGTCATTAGACTCATCACCCACCGATGCTGGTAAACAACGACATAAACCGACGCCGTCGATGGTTTCTCCGATAATCCCCTTGCATTCCGAGCAAACTTGCCGGCGTATATGGCGAGCTACGAGAAAATTAGCCTGGTGAACCTTAGAATCACAGCTCCAGCAGAGAAACGCAGAATCTGAAGAACAGTAAACTGCAGCATCTCCATTACACAATTCGCAAACCCGAATTTTCATCTTTACAAATTATAAACCAAATCAGTTTGAAGAAAGAACTCAAATTTAAAAGATGCTGAGAAAAAAAAAAAGATGGAGAGAGAAAAGTGAGAAAAGAGATTTATGGTGTGAGAGTGAGTATGGGGGATTAAGGGAAGAGAAGGATCAAACTCATCAAAGTGCAAATGAATAATATGGAGATTTAAAGGGAAACAGATTTTAAGGCAGACCAGTATTGAAGAACAGTGTGTTTTTGTGGGTGAGAGAGAGGTAGAAAGAGAGAGAAGAGAGAGAAGGACGGACAGAAGAAGAGATCAATGAGAGACTGACAGAGAGAATCAAGAAATAGAGAGAGAGAGAGAGGACAGATTGGTGGAAGAGAGAGAGACGCAGTTGGATTTTACATGCACCCTGACACCTCTCAAGTCTCACCATACATATATATATAATCTACTGTTTACCGTCTCTTTCTCTCTCCTCTCTTATAAGTCATTATCCCTGTCCACAAAACCTCGTTTGTCTCGAACAACTCAATGTCCTTTTCTTTTGCAAATAATGCCCTCCATATTATCGATTTTCTCAGATCAAGCCCCTTAAGATATTTTAAATTCCAAATTTGACCTACTAAAATATAAAATATACAATGACAATAGGGATCAAAAGAGACTATAAACCAAACGTTGGTTTTTGCACCATAACAATCATAGCAGTAAATGCACAAAACTAAGAATCCAATAAAAAATTTCTTAATTGCGCTGGCATATATTCATTTTTCCTTTTGTTTGTTAATAGTAATTATTCTTTGTGCTGTTCGTAGAATATTTATTTTACTATCAACATGGTCCCATAATGGGATCGTTCAATAAGGAAAAAGATAAATGGCCGCAAAGGCCCAATGGCCTGACCCCTAGATGGCAAAGACCACATGATATTAAGGAAACAATACATAACTCCTAGTTGTAAATATTACATTTCATAAATAACAAACTCATTAAAATATTTCAAAAATCAGGTGATAAACAAATGTATTAAATATTAAAATATAATATAATATACATTAATCATTTCTATTTATGCCCCCTCACCTACCATATCCAATTACCCTACTACACCACCTTCCCTCCACCTCTCTACCAGAGACGGCCATCAGCTCCGGGGATCACTCTCCTGCGACTACTCCGACAGTCACTCCGGTAACTGTTCCGACTGCCGCTTCGACGACTGTTCCGTCGGCCGCTCCGGTGACTCAAAGATTTTCAGAAAATTAAAAATTGAAAATCACACTCTCACCCTCATGGATCCACCTACCACCACCCCATCCTTGCCTCCACCTCCTAAAAAATGAAAAAAAAAATGTGTTCAGTGTGACTGTAT